TGGATACCAGCCGTTGATCCTGAAACAGAATAATACTACTTAAATATTAGTCTTAGTTACTTAATATCTCATTACACATTGAAATTAATTAATGAATGAAATATTATTGTACACCAAAAATTAGAGAAAAAACAACAAATTGGCGGTCTTATCGCTTAGAAGGAAATCTCTAACAGGCAACCACATCGCAGAGGATATAATGATCTGTGAGAAGGGGTAAAGATATGCATAATTTGTTAGAAAATACGACATAAATATAATTATATACTCGATAAATACATACATAATATAATAAATAAATATATATAAAATGTGGAAACACATATATAAGAGCAGAAAGGAATAAATAAGAAAGTGAAATAAATGTTTAAACGTAAGGAAAAATAATTAGTAGTTTTTAAATGAACGATGTCACGGAGAAATAGAGGAATGACTGTTTATGAAGAAAGGGAGTGCGCTTTGACAAGTATTTTAAACATTTCAATAGATTGAAAATTCATATGATATATATATATATATATATATATATATATATATATGAATTTTATATATTATATATAACAACTTCCACGTCACACGTTACTTCACGTCTAAGAAATAAACTAAAAATCAACTTAATATCCTGTTTGCCTCTTCAACTACCTCCGTCATGTATTTTCCCAAAAACATCTTTTTTTATTTTGTTATCATTTACAACTTTGCTTGTAAACATAGCAATATTTATAATACTGTTAAATATGTAAGCTCTCGAACCCCGCAAGACAGGAACACGGGGCCAAATTCCTTTGTGTTAACTGCCAACGCGCGTGTCTTACATAGATAGTGTTATGTACTACTCCTCATATTTTGCTTATTGTTTGTATATGTTTATTCCGATACAGTATTTTATACGTGGTAGAGCCACGCTGCATCTATATTATAGTTGTAGAACGAATGGGTCGGCTCGACCGAGGAACGACCACACTCTCACAGAATACCAACGTAAAATAGCAGTTTAATACTGCTGTGCTTCGTATGGTGAGTGTAGAGATCCGGAGACCCCTTTTGACTGGAAACGAATCATTCTATCTTAGTCCACAGGGGTGACAACACATCTGCGTTTTGATTCTTAATCAAAGTCTATGGGCCACAGCATCAACTTACTTACGTTTAGACAAAATGAGAAAACGGACTGATAATGTAGCTTCTTAGCCGACACCTTGTGCTAACCACCTCGAGTTACGAGCTACCTATTCAGAGTATAGTCTCTGACCGAACAATTTGCGTATCATTGCTTCTAAACGTCATACGTCATATAACTTTAGAATTAAAAGGTAATAAAATAATGGAAGCGGGCTATTGTGATACTGCTCTCGCAAAGCAGTCGATTAACAGTCACAAGCTATGCGCTATTTATTTAACAGATATACCTAAGTTAGCAAACGAGCATACGGCTCACCTGATGCTAAGTGATTACCGCCGCCCATTAACAACTGCAACATCAGGAGAATTGCAGATGCGTTGCCGGACTTTTAAAAAGGAGTAGGCTCTTTTCTTGAAGGTTCCTAAGTCGTATTGGTCCAGAAATATCGCTGGTGGTAGTTGATTCCACAGGAAGGTTGTACAAGGGAGAAAACTTCTTTTAAATCGCTTAGTGGTGGACCGCCAGTCATCTAGATGGTGTGGATGAAAACGTTTGCCCTCTCTTCTAAAAAAAAAAACATTTATAGGCCACTGTTGTACATCATAATTAGAATATTTCCCACGCTTAGCAAAGGGGCTACCAACCGCAGTTATTATTTTGTTTATTTGTTATGAAGATGATACTGCTGCCTATATCCTGGTTTGTTTCCCCTTTGTCGCTTCTTACGACGACCATGGGACGATTTCGGGTAGTGCCACGCTGCAGCCATATTATGGGTGTAGCACGAATGGGTCGGCTATTAAAGTCCCCTGCTGACCATATATCTCCCCCATAGATTGCCTCATAGGGGCGCGGGGGGAGGGGGATATTAGGCATAGTTGCCACGCTTGGGAAACGGGTTGACAAACGCAGTTATTTATTTATATTCGTTATTAGGAAGACGCTGCTGCCAATCTTGTGAGTTTTTCCCCTTATTCGTCTCTTACGACACCCGCGGGACGATGTGTGGTAGTGGATACACTTACACCGCCACTACACGGCAAATATACCGAAGTACCAAAAATAAATTCAACTTTTCTGCATTTTGCGAAAATCCATGCTCAGCAATAATTACGTGGTAGAGCCATGCTGCAGTTATATTAGTAGTATAGTTGTAGCACGAATGGGTCGGCTCGACCGGGGAAGGACCACGCTCTCACAGAATACCAGCGTGAAATAGTAGCTTAATGCTGATGTATTTCGTATGGTGAGTGTAGAGAACCGGAGACCCTTTTTACTGGAAACGAGGCATTCCATCTCAGTCCTCACGGGTGACAACGCATCTGCATTTTGATTTTTAATGGAGAATAGATGTAGATGTCTACGGGCCGCAGCAACCACTAACCATGTGTGCTCGTTTGTCACCCTATTCTATAAAAAAAAATTGTCATTAGCGATTTCTTTTTTGGTTCATATCTAATTTGCGCGTTACACAATTAACATAAGTCTCATTTTACTATGTACATATTTCGTTGCAAAAATTCGCTTCCATTCCGTTCCGCAGCAGTGTAATTTGAGCCTTAGGTTAATAGGACTTTTTCTACCTACCAGTCCGCATGGGTTGCTACCTCCTTCCTATCTCTGCCGCCATGCAGCGGGATATATACTGCTGTGTTCCAGTTTTTTTTTGTGTCAGAAGCAAAAGTAAAGGGCTACTCTCCGGGAAGCGGGGGAGGGAGGTTACGAATGATCTAAGCATAACACTCAGCCGGCTGCGTGGTTATGTGGGACTCACTGAGAAGCCTAAGTGCCTACCCACTAAACACCACCTGAGACCTGGTAAGGCCTTTTTGCCGTATCGGAAGCTTGGGAAACCCCCCTTGGGGAAAGGGGAGCGCAGGCATTCCGGTCTGAAGGATTATAGGTAGAGCGCTAATATAATTACAGGTTGAGAGTAATTTTCTTAGTCCTCAGTTATCTCAGTCCTCACTTTCACTGTCCCGTTTCCAGACACAATAAAAACAAAGTAACACAATAGCAATGACCCATATATGTATCACGGAACAGTGAACGTGTTAAATTTGATAGGAGGACCCATAGGCTGAAATACTCGTAGCCACATAACGTCACAGTTCGCTTGTCGCTTCGATTCCATGAAATGATAATAATTTCTCAATACATACACCTTTACTTAACAGCTAAAAGATAGAAGTTTTAATGTGCCTGTGGAATTGCCGTAGCATTAGTTTTATTTAATTATATTTCTTGGCTTTCAGTAAAGCGATATTTTCTCTTGAACTTGTCAATAATATCGTTCCGAGAGTAAAAAAATGACCGAGTTATAGTCGAAAAATGTAAACACGCAATTTAAAAATAAGTACTTACTGTACATCGTACAATCCGACCAAAGAAAATTGTTTGTACCTGTCTATCAATTGTACGTTCGTTGAGTGGTGATTCGTTGCGCGACGCGACGTGAGCAAATAATAAGCGACCACGGTCACCGACGGTAAAACGCAGTGATTAAATAAATATTTCTTTGACCAACGAATAAATGACCAAAAATAATGAAAAACTACATCGCAGTTTCAAAAGAATTAATCTGTTAAAACTTAATGTCATTTTATTCTCTTACCAAACCAAATCAGTATCCCTCAAAATGTGACTCACATACAAACCGTGTGACCCTAATTATAATTACCTTGAAAGAAATAAGATTATTGCGTCATTTATTTCTGTAATCGATGACAATTAATACTTGATATTTACAAGTGAATATGGATAATATTTAAGATATTATTCATATTCCTTTTACGATACCCACGGGGTGATATGGGGTAGTGGACTGCCACTTCACGGTAAATTTTAGATATTATTTAAGGTTGAAGCACGAATTGTTCGGTTCGACCGCAGAACGACTACGCTCTCACAGAATACCACCATAAATTGGCGGTTTAATGCTGCCGTGTTTTTTGTTGTTGTAGGATAGTGTGACAAACGAGCACACAGTCTACCTGATGGTCACTTACCATTTGCTGCTGCATTTGCTGCGGCCCATAGACACCCACATGTATCCTCGATTACGAATCAAAATGCAGATGCGTTGTCACCCATGAGGACTAAGATCGAGTGCCTCATTTCCAGTAAAAAGGGTCTCCGGTTCTCTACACTCACCCTACGAAACACTGCAGCATCGAGCTACTATTTTACGGTGGTATTCTGTGAGAGTGTGGTCCTTCCCACGTATAAATTTGTGGTGAGTGTAGAGAACTGGTGATCCAATTTATTCAAAATTGGACACTCCTTCTCAGTCCTCAGGAATGGCAACGCATCTAAATTTTGATTCTTATTCATGGATAAATGTAAATGGGTATGGGCCACAGCATCCACTTAATATCAGATTGAATGTGTGCTCATTTGTCGCTCTTAATTCTATTGAAAGCAATCCGATACGACTGGAGAGAGATCAGGCGCGGGACTAACAATTTCACGTGATTTCCGAGGCACAGGTGTGAAACATCGTCAACTTCCTCGGGTCTGCTACTAAAACGTTCTTGATAAAAAAACAATAAAAAAATTTGGCCTGGCCCGGGATTTGAATTCGGGAATTCAGGATAAGTTGTCACGCTTACCGACCACAAGGAAGTAAAAAAGTACCTATCTCTCACGTGAAATACTACGACTGTATAAAAATTCTAAAAAAAATTCTATTCTTGCTTTAATATGATTGATTTCGTTTCACCGTTATACCCAATAATATTGGTTCTTACCCTATTTGGTTTTACCGTTTTACCTATTGAGTAATTTACTATCTCGAATACCGGTTAATATTATTTAGTAATTCTGCGCGTAGTTTTACTGCTCTACCTTGTCCTGTTACTGTACCGTGATGGTCATCATGAATACCGCAGAGTACAAAAGTATTGTTCACCACCTCTTTTCATCTTTATAGTGCGTCCTTTTTAACAATTTTCAAAACGAGCTATCAAGTCTCTCAAATATATTTTACATTATAGTGACACGTTGCAGCAAAATATATCTGCAGCTGGAATGAGTTGGTTCGACTGAAGAAAGATCTCCGCTGTACAGAATATGAGTGTGATACAACAAACAAACAGTGCTATAGTGAGTGATTGGAACCGACCTTTTGATGAGGTGATGAGGTTCCATCTCACTACTAATGAGTGATAACGTTTTTTTTTTATCGAATAGGGTGACAAACGAGCACACAGTCCACCTGATGGTAAGTGGTTGCTGCGGCCCATAGACATCCACATCTATCCTCCATTAAAAATCAAAATGCAGATGCGTTGTCACCCGTGAGGACTGAGATGGAATGCCTCGTTTCCAGTAAAAAGGGTCTCCGGTTCTCTACACTCACCATACGAAATACAGCAGCATTAAGCTACTATTTTACGCTGGTATTCTGTGAGAGCGTGGTCCTTCCCCGGTCGAGCCGACCCATTCGTGCTACAACTATACTACTAATATAACTGCAGCATGGCTCTACCACGTAAAAACTACGTATTTGTATTATGTTTCACAATGAATGGCCTACGGACCATAGCAACCACTTACCACTGCATAGGTCACAGTTAGACTGTATGCTTGTGTATCGCCTTTACATTTATTAAAGCCAGGTGTGTTTAGCTTTTAACTGCCGAATATTTCTAATTACTGAGTACCTGATAATTATAGTAGATTGACGCGGTAGAGCCACGCTATAGCTATAATAGTTGTAGCACAAATGGGTAGGCTCGACTGTGGTAGGACCACGCTCTCACAGAATACCAACCAGCGTTAAATAGCTGCTTAAGACTGCTGAGTTTCGTATGGTGAGTGTAGACAACCGGTGACACTTTTTACTGAAAACTAGGTATTCATCAGATAAATCAAAGAGTATTTCAAAACACGTAGAGATGGACCTTTATAAGATCGTCATTTAATGTATCTTCAAAGTGTATCCTCGTACTCAAATGGTCATTTAGTTCATTTAAAAGTGACGTAAGTAAATTAATACTTCCATATGTTCATATATTGCGAAAGTTGATCGGCACCGTGACTAAAAAACCAGTATACAACGGCAGCGGCTACGCGCGGTCGCGTACGAGTCGCACATACTATATACTTAGTAGACCTTTAATGATCACCGCGAATGTAATTTACCGTTAGGCAAACTGGTAGTGAGGACTAATCACACGAGTTATAAGTAATACAAGCTATACGTGAAGACTTCTATAACTTGTAAGTGGTGGTTTGTTATTAAGTAATTTGATACCCAATCTTTCAATATGTTCCCGTAGGTAATCGATAAAACGTAGAGCATCTCGATTACGTTTCCCGACCACCTAAATTTTAACGAATTTATAGTTAAAGACCACTATCCAGTGCGTTGTAATATTAGTAAATAATTTCCGTAGATAGCATATACGCAAGATGACCTCGACTGACCCTGCGAGATATCTTAGAAATGCTCTGAACGGTCCTGTGTCAGCAAATCGAAACAGAAATAAGATAATCACAATCGATATTTTACGTTCATTACATAGGTATGTCGTAGCACATCAGATTAAAACAAAACTTCTCTTACAAACTTATTAAAAACGATGGCTATTTACAAACACTTATGACACTTACATTTGGCCGCTTACTTTGTATAACATAAATCACGTTTCAATGTAAAAAGTCAGTCTTGAAACCAAACAAGTAAAACGTGTTTATTGGTAAACCCATATCGATAGAATATACACCAATATCTTAGAATAACAACATACCAACCAAAATACAGTGCATATTCGCCAAGTGAGACGTGATAAATCTTGAAATATCTTCTTTATTGTTTGAAAGGTCATTTAAATACGTGTACAGAACTCGCGACGTGTGCTATTAGAAATTTAAGTAGGTATTTACGTTTCTTATGAAGTACGTGAGCGGCTTAATATTTTCTGTGCGTCTTTAGAAACCATTTAAAATAAATATAAGCCATAGAAAAAGCCTTTACTTTTTCTGTCTAAATGTTATATCTAAATCTAGTATGGATTTTGGTTTAATATATAACGCGTTCGCTAAAATATCCAGCAAAATGTTTTCTTTTTATATATAAAATAAGAATGACAAACGAGTCCACCTGATAGTAAATGGATACCCACTTACAATCAGGTGGACTATATGCTCATCGAGTATTGATGTAGATGGGCCACAGTATTGTAGCCCATCTACATCAATACTCGATGAAGAATCAAAATGCAAAGATGCGTTGTAAGTTGTAACCCTGAGGATGAAGATGGAATGCTTCCTTTCCAGTAAAAATGGTTTAGGTTCTCTACACTCACCATATGAAACACTTACTTTAGCTGCTACTTTAAGCTGGTATAGCCAAGCCGACCCATTAGTGCTACAACTATATTATAGCTGTAACATAGCTCTACCACATGTGAAAAATGTAAACATTTTCATAAGTTTTAATTTAATTTTTACTGACTATATTCTAGGGACACCCTGGCGCCCATCACTAAAAAATTGGGGTCCGGTTCCACACGTAATAGTGGGACCGGTGGCACAATGAGCAAAAGCACTGGCGGAAAATTTGGCAACACTATGAACTTTGGCAGTAAGCCAAATAATTCAAGCTACAATGCGAAAAACTTAAGCAATTCGGGAAACTTTGGTGATAAAAAAACGAACGCATCTGGACTTGGTGGAAAAATTAGTAACGTACCTAGCTATAGTGGAAAAAGTGGCTCAGATAATTTAAGCAGTACATCAAGTTCCGGCGGAAAAAAGAACACAACACCGAGTTTCGTCGAGGTAGGGGGAAATTCCAAAAGTCAAAAGACTGCTAGTAGTGGCTACACCAAACCCACGACGGAAAAGAATTATACTGCTCCTTCGTTTATGAACCGTAACTCTAAAAAGTCCTCGATGACATTTGGCATTATATGGCTGCCTACAAGAAAACGCAATAAAATGAAGGATGCATACAACCCTAATAACGACAAACGAGATCGCTATAAAGAGAGAACACCTTCAATGTATAATTTGTAAGTAACATAATTATTTAAGCCGTAAATTAAAATTAGTTAGCCGTGCGGTGGCTGCGTAAAGAATCCTTCATCCCGTTGGGTATTGTAAAAGGCTACAACGGGAAATACCCAGAAAGATTTTATGGGCTCCGATAGATGACGGTATGACTATCTCGTATATAATGTCCTCCAGACCGAATTTCGGCCATGGCGGCCTGCCTCAACGGAGGCTAGCCATCGGCGCAGGACAGGATTATAGTGCCCAAGTGTATGCGCAAGCACAGGTGCACTCTCTATTCCCTCACTCCCATAATCCGATGGGACGGTAAACCGACACGACCGGAGAGAGATCAGGCGCAGGACCAACGGCATTACGTGCTTTCCGAGGCACGGGGGTGAGACCGCCAACTTCATGACTCCGGGAAGCTACTGAGAATTTCTTGACGGAAAAACTCAAAAATTAATTTTTGGCCCGACCCGGGATTGGAACCCAGGACCTCATGATCAGCAGTCGTACTACTACAACCACTAGACCAAAAAGGAGTTATCTCGTAGTAATCCAGGTGTAAATACCTGCCTACCTGGACCGACAATAGAGCATCAAAGTTTTTTATATGAGGTACGTGTAAGGGTAATGTAAAATCCACATTAATTAGTATATACGTAATACGGACTTTGCTATAAAACCAAAACTAGGATAAAGACTGAGACAAAAACACAAAGTAGTATACTATAACTAATATATTAAGAAAAATATAACAAACAAGCGTGGGCAACATTTAGGAAGACATCGAAAAATCAACTTAAAAGAAAACTAACTACACTACATTATACTAAAATCGACTAAAGTAAAATATTTTATCATATCTATAATGACAACTGTCAAAATAGGGTTCTTAAAGCAGCGGCTTTTTGACCATCTTTGACCCTTTGTTATTTGAATGTCAGATTAAGACGTATCACAGAGCCATCTATGCAAACACAAAGTGACCATATTAACCGAATGTCCATATTACTCTCATATTAAAAAAATGTGACGAAAACGCACATTTTTTTAATAGAATATTGGCCAAATTCTCAAACGCTACCTAATTTTTAAAATGCCGAAGTCTCATACCGTCACAGTCACTTTAACTTAAAATGATAGACACAGCACGAGCCTTAACGGTGTGGGAATAAGAGTGACGAGCACACAGTCCACGTGATGGCAAGTGGATGCTGTGGCCCATTGACATCTACATACATCTATCCTTGATTACGAATCACATTCAAAAAAAAAATTAGTGTTATGTGGCTCTCGGTGACTGCCGCGGTAAAGCTATTGCATAGCATTTTTTATCAACTTATGCAATTATAATTATTTATTTATTTTATTTATGCAGTTAAGTCTTTGATATTAAATCAAGTTACACTTTTTGAGCGTGGTGACCGATAAGAAAACAATTTTTTTTCTCTTATTGAATAAATGAGAAGTTAATATTGTTTAAAATATTTTTAATATCTTATAATACATGTAGGTTGTTCAGGAATTTTTATCATTGAGTTAGCGGCTAGTGTACACGCACCCAAACACCGTGCCGAAGTCTGCCGAGTGCCGAAGTCTGCCGAACTGAAACGACGTTAGACGATGCACGGCTTTCAACGCCACACCTCCGTGCCCGTCGGAGTGGGGAGCATGAGGTTTTTTTTCGTTACGGAATTTCTGGATTCGGTCCCCGCGCTCAAGACCCGCGATAGAAGCTATGCAATAGCTTAAAAAATAGTTTTAAATAATATAAACAAAATAAAAACTTATTCTAAGATCTCATTCATAAGCCGCCGAAGATTAGTCAGTTTATACCATTCGTCAAGTGTAATAATATTCCTCCATAGAAATATAATACCTTCTAAGTCAGTGTATTCCTCTAGGAGTTTACAAGGTTGATTGTGTATGTGGTCTCTCTCGCACATATGCATTGACAAAGTTTTAGTGCAATCTCATGAACAGCACGTTAACATATGAAATACGAACAAGCAAACATTATTTTTTAAATATTATATTAATTATGTTAGAAGATACCTATATTAGCATTTACGTGCATCGTGCACTTCTCTATTACGTTGGAAACAGAAAATGAAATGAATACGATAAATAGGCTTAGAACTAAATAATGATTTACTGGTTTCTCCTGACCCGTAATGATTTAAGGAAATATTAATATTCTATATAATACACAGTAGAGCCAAATGGTTAAGGGTGTTAACTGCAACCTCGAGAAGTTGAGAAGTTGCGTGGGCTCGATTCCGGCATTCGACTACTGTCGTGGATTATATTATATACCTAACAAAAGCATTTAACGTTACTCAGAGTGGTTGACGGGTGTATTAGTAGTATTTATAGCGTTACTAGAATTCTTTTAAAAATAGTTATTTTAGCAATAACAAGAAAATTTTAGCCCTAACCAACTTTAACGAACTTTAAATCATTTTCGGTAAACGACGGAACAAATTTCAAGTAAATGGCGTAAAATGCTCGAAGTTCAGTCATTATTATTTCTGCGTGGTAATCATCAATCATAAGCTAAAAAAAAAACGTATAAAGTGGTTTGGATAGGAAAAAAATAAAGTATTAGGAAGAAAAAAAGTATTTTTTAAATTTTATGTTTTTATTGCTTTAAACACGTATTTTTGTGTGTTTTTAGCACATGCTAACAATTTTTTGTTGTCTTTAAATGTTACAAAGCTTGTTTGACAATCAACGTTTAAAAAATAAATAATTTTTTTTAGTTATTTTAGCTTTTTTAGAAGTCACTGGTGTGTCGCTATCAGAATTACTCGTCATTTTCGGCATTAATATTTACTTTAAAATGCATTCTTCACTTATAAACAAAACTAACGGACCAGTTTTGTACAATTTCGTCGATAGTGAGAGACATCTGTGACAAACGTCACAACTGACATCTGACATCTAATAGGCCTTTCCGATTCACGCCAACAGCGCTGTCAGCGCCAATAATCCGTTCCGAATCAACCGTAAGCGCGCTGATGACAACGCTAACGCTGCCCATGGTCGCGAGCGTAATCACTGTTGGCGCTGTTGGCGTGAATCGGAAAGATAGGTAACATTTCGTCCAGCAATTATAAATCGTTAAGTACCCATGATGAGTATGTTTTACGCATCACAGCAAAAGGTTGAAAATAAAGTATTTTTGCATACTTTATTTGTATGTAAAAGTATAAAGTATAATTACCAATAAATCGAAAGTAGGATACGTTATCTATAAAGTATAGTTGGCAAGCCTACGTTTGTCACATAATATAGAAGTAACTTCTATGTGCATGTCGGTAAAACATGAATAACTTTTTTTAATTTTTACAAAAACACAGACAGACATAAAGTTTTAATTTTTTATCTTTCCGTCTGTTTCCCGGGCTAATCATCGTAGTGGCTGAACCTATTGCAGTGAAACTACACGATCCGATATTGGTCTTCGATTATCTTTATGTGGCACTACCACTTAAAAATAAAAATACTGTCTTATTACTTTATTCTCTTCACTTATAGTTTTGTATTTAAATTTGTAATTAAAATACAAAAATGTTAAAAATATATTTCGTATCAAAACTTTAAAGATAGATTAGTAGTAGTTATAGATTAGAGAGGAGAGATAAAAGATAAATATCTTTTTGTGTAAAATGGCAAACCGAAAAAGTTTTGCTCCAATGTATTTATAATTTATATATCTTTTCATATAGTCCCATATGAGAAGCACAACAAAACATTATTTATCTATTTTATTGGTTTCTCATTTCCACAAAAAACCTCCATGTTTTGTTTTTCGGATAAAATATAGATATTATCCGAGACTAGACTATAGATTAGACTATAGGTAGGCATTCCAATTGTCCGTGAAGTCTCAGAGATTAGCCCGGACATACAGACGGAGAAAACTTTAGAAAAGGATTGTTTTAGTCTTAAAATAGCACGCACATAATAGAAAGCTATTTGGTTATTACAGAAAAACAGTTAAATTTAATTATTTATATAACAATTTATAAATAAAATATTTAGATATAACTTAAACCCTTACGCCAACCACGTAGAGAGGTAAGCAGAGGCTATGTAATCCTATTTGGCACGATCCTGATACACCTCTCTCGCTTCCTTCACATCCATAAGCTATTAATAAGGTACATGAGGGTAATATCTCCTTAAGCTTTCCCGCCCTATGAAACCAATACTAGGAGGAGAATAGATACAAAAACACAAAGTCGTATACTATAACTAATATATTAATAAAACATTTCGAAAATCAACTTAATAAAAACTAACTACATTACGCCATACTAAAATCGACTAAAATATATACTATAATATCAACTGTTATTAACTATTATTTGATTGACTGATGAGCTATAGTAGTAGTATATATATATATATATATATATATATATATATATATATATATATATATATATATATATATATATCATATTCCCTCTATATGCCTTATAGCCTTCTATGCAAATAAGGCTGTAGTTTTTGAATTATATTATAAAAAGTGACCATATTAACCGGATGGACATATTACCCTCACGTACTAGGGTAGTCGGACCAATAGATGAACGCCCCCTAGTAGATGAACGAAACGAACATTTTATTTAATTCTAAGAATTGAGTGATGCCTTATATACTTACTATATACTATACTATACTATACTTACTATACTTTTCATTTATAACCAATAATGTCCTCCAGACCGAATTTCGGCCACGGCGGCCTGCCTCAACGGAGGCTAGCCATCGGCGCAGGACAGGATTATAGTGCCCTCTATTCCCTCACTCCACCCAAACCACCAACCGAAGAGATCAGGCGCAGGACCAACGGCTTTACGTGCTTTCCGAGGCACGGGGGTGAGACATCGCCAACTCCCTGACTCCGGGCAATTACTGAGAATTTCTTGACGGAAAAACTCAAAAATTATTTTTTTGGCCGACCCGGGATTTGAACCCAGGACCTTATGATCAGCAGTCGCAC